TATGAGCAAGAATCTGCTATCGGTGCCACAGATTTACAAGGGTGGCAAGTTTCAAGTCGTGTTTGACGGGTCCAAGATGTATGTGACTCTCAAGAACTCACAGCAAGTGGTGGCGACAGCGGATCTCGTGGATGGACTCTACTGGCTTCGGACGACTCAACGATCAGCGAATGTGACAACAAGTGGAACCAGTTGTGCCGATCTACATGCGAGAATGGGTCATGCTCCAGTCGATGTACTTCGCAAGATGATCGCGACCAACATGATCAAGGATGTGCGAGTCCCTCTCAAGTCGGGTGGAGCAACTACATGTCGAGGATGTCAACAAGGGAAAATGGTCAAAAACCATTTCCAAGCAACCGAGACAAGCGCAGCTACGATACGTTTGAGCTACTTCATCTGGACATCTGCGGGCCCATGGAAAGGATTCGCTCGGTGGCAGCAAATATTTGCTGCTGATCATCGACGAAGCCAGTGGATGCATGAAGGGCTTTTGTCTACGAGTGAAGTCCGAGAGTGAAGACTACATCCGGAAATATATCACCATGGTACAGACGCAATTCTGTAAGAAGGTCAAGTTCGTGCGACACGACGGAGCTCGCGAGTTTGCAACCAACTCGCTTCAACTGTTCTACGAAGACGAAGGCATTGAACAGCAGACAACGGTGCCGTATGCACATCAAACAAACGGAACAGCAGAGCGTGCCATTAGGACTATTGTCACGATCGGCCGCAGCATGCTTCATCATGCCAAACTGGACAAGTGTTTCTGGGCCGAAGCAGCGATGACGGCCATCTACGTCAAGAATCGACTGCCGTCACCTAAAGTCGTGCACAAGACCCCGTTTGAGATCGTCTACAACTTGAAACCAAGCGTCAAGCACATGCGAACATTCGGGTGTCAGACATACATACTGACGCCTAAAGAGAATCGACTCAAGTGGGATCCAAAGGCTCGCGCTGGCATATTCGTGGGCTACGAAGAAGTTTCGAAGGCATATCGTGTTTATGACATCGAGGCGGGGCAGGTGGTTATCAGCCGCGATGTCAACTTCGACGAGTCCACCTTTGGACTTCAACTGCCGATCACTGATGAAGATGTCGATGACCTGGACTTCGAATTGCTGGATCTTGATGACGAAGAGCTGCGTCAAATGGAGTACAAGCAAACAGGCAAGCGCAAGAACCGACTCAATGATGAAGATACAGCAGCTCCACGACCGCGTGCAGTGCGTCAACGACCAGGACTAGAAGAGTCAAGCGCGCCGGAAAACAACTCGTCACGACAAGAAGAAGACGAAGAAACGAAGGATTCTGGTGATTCAACACCGCCTGTGTTTTGGCGTGCGAGTGCAAAATGCCGTTGAAGCAGCAGTGGACTTATCAGAACCCTCAACATTTGAAGCAGCAGTAAGCGGCCCTGACCAAGTGCACTGGAGAAAAGCAATTCATGCAGAGCTCGAGTCAATGCGACTTCGCGGTGTGTTTCGTGCAGCCAAGCTGCCCAACGGACAACGCGCCATTGGCACAAAATGGGTGTTCAAGATCAAGTGCAAGGCGGATGGGTCAATCGAGAAGTACAAGGCACGACTTGTGGCCAAGGGTTTCCGCCAAAAGTATGGCATCGACTACACGGAGACGTTTTCGCCTGTGGTCAAGTATGTGACGCTGCGAATGGTGATCGCAATTTCCAAGCATTTTGGATGGCCCATCGACCAGCTTGATGTGGTGACAGCTTTCCTGTATGGCGTCATGAAGGAACAAGTGTTCTGCGTGATTCCTGAAGGCGTCGAACTTGACAGTACGTTCGACTGCCTGGAATTGGTGAAGTCAATTTACGGCCTCAAGCAAGCGTCGCGAGTGTGGAACGAGACGTTCGACGAGTATGTGTGCTCCATCGGATTTCAAGTATCGGACTTCGACCCATGTCTCTACATCAAGACTTCGGACGGCCATTGCGTGTTTATACTGGTCTACGTGGACGACGTCTTGGTGACTGGAAGCTCGCTCGAGCTGATTGCACAAACCAAGAACGACCTGAAGACGCGGTTCGAAATGACGGACAGCGGCAAGTGTGCGTTTGTTCTTGGGATCGAGCTTTTGGACGGTGAAGATGGCAGTGTGACACTATGTCAGCGTCGGTATGTCGATGATATCCTCAAGCGCTTTGGCATGGATGATTGCAAGGCAGTCGCAAGTCCAGTCGACATGAGCTCTCGACTTGTTTCAAGTGATGCAACTACCAAGGTCGATGCTCCTTTTCGCGAAGCTGTTGGTGCGTTGATGCACCTGACCACTGCAACGTGTCCGGACATTGCGTTTGCTGTGGGCTATGTGTCGCGGTTCATGGAAAATCCCCAAGAAGAACACTGGGTTGCAGTTAAGCGTATCTTTCGCTACCTACAAGGCACCAAGACGCATGGAATTTGCTACAAGCCAAGTGCAAGGATCGACTTCCGTGGATATTCGGATGCGGATTGGGCTGGTGATCTTACCGACCGCAAGTCAACATCGGGGTACACGTTCATGCTACTCGGTGCGCCAGTCAGTTGGGGCAGCAAGAAGCAGCCAAGTGTTTCGTTGTCCACGAGTGAAGCCGAATACATCGCACTCAGCTTGGCGATTCAAGAGGGCAAGTGAATTCATCGTCTGCTTTGTGAGATCGTGATGGCTGCCAATGAAGAAGGACCGGAACTCATGATTCATGAAGACAATCAGTCATGTATCAAGATGACGAAGAACCCAGTCAACCACGGCCGTGCCAAGCACATTGATATCAAGTACCATCACATCCGTGATGAGGTCAAGCGCGGTGAAGTGAAGCTCAAGTACTGTGAAACTGCGGTGATGTTAGCGGACATCATGACGAAGGGACTTCATGGACCACGCCACAAGGAGATGACGACGGCTCTCGGGATTCGTGAGCATTCGGATTGAGGGGGCGTGTTGACGGTCATCGGTTTTCTACCAGTATTGGTAACCGTGACCGATCCAATCCGAACCGCCTGTTCAGCTTAGTATTTACGACGTAGTTCTTACGGTAATTACCATAGTTGATTAGACGCGTAGGATGATGAGACGCTTCACATGATTTATATGTACACCACATATAAATCATTTAGTAAGTAGTAAGCCCCGATAATCAATCACTTTCGAATCTTCCAACTATTGGGCAAGTGTTTTCTGCTCTACTCTCTTCGGTCTCTCCGCTCCGTTTGCTCCGCTTTCCTCGCTCCGATCTACAATGCAACACCGCGTCGGGCTTCCCGACCTTCGTTCTTCTGCTTTGTCCAGCAACGATCCACCGTGTGTCCCACCTTGCCACAATACGTGGATTGGTAGGGCTCACGCTCGGCGCTGAATGCCTTGCTTGCATCTTCAGCCTTCACCGTAGTCGCTGTCGTTGTCCCTTTTTCTCCTTGACGCTTGGCATGCTCATTCGTCAGGACTCTCACCACATCTTGAGTGCGAAGCTCGGTGCTGCTCATTTCCATGTTGAGCACCACATTTTCGTAGCTCTTCGGAAGACTGAGTAGCAGACAAATTGCAACGTCTTCGTCTTCCATCTTCGCACCGATGCCGCTAAGCTTGGCGGAGATGTTGAGGACCTCGTTGCAGTGATGCATGACGTTCGCGCCTTCAGCCATCTTGATACTGAAAAGTTGTCGCTTGAGGTAGATGCGTCCTGCCTTCTGCGACCCACCGTACAGCGTCTTCAGACTTGTCCACGCAACCCAGGCTTCCTCGCAGTTGTCCAGCACATGATGGTAGTCCGCGTTCATGTGCAGCAGCATCATACCAAACGCGACGTTGCTTGCCTTGACGTAGTCATCGGACGCTCGCGGGTCGGTGAAAGTCGGAGTCACTTCACGGTTGACAACGTGCCAGACGGACTTCGTCAAAAACACACCGCGCATGTACCGGCTCCACGTTGCGTAATTGTCTCCGTTGAACTTGTCAATGGAGGCGTTGCTGGTGGACGACATGGCGCTTGGGCTCATAACCTGTTGCATTGTAGATCGGAGCGAGGAAAGCGGAGCGAACGGAGCGGAGAGACCGAAGAGAGTAGAGCAGAAAACACTTGCCCAATAGTTGGAAGATTCGAAAGTGATTGATTATCGGGGCTTACTACTTACTACATGATTTATATGTGGTGTACATATAAATCATGTGAAGCGTCTCATCATCCTACGCGTCTAATCAACTATGGTAATTACCGTAAGAACTACGTCGTAAATACTAAGCTGAACAGGCGGTTCGGATTGGATCGGTCACGGTTACCAATACTGGTAGAAAACCGATGACCGTCAACACGCCCCCTCAATCCGAATGCTCACGAATCCCGAGAGTCGCCGTCATCTCCTTGTGGCGTGGCCCGTGAAGTCCCTTCGTCATGATGTCCGCTAACATCACCGCAGTTTCACAGTACTTGAGCTTCACTTCACCGCGCTTGACCTCATCACGGATGTGATGGTACTTGATATCAATGTGCTTGGCACGGCCGTGGTTGACTGGGTTCTTCGTCATCTTGATACACGACTGATTGTCTTCATGGATCATGAGTTCCGGTCCTTCTTCATTGGCAGCCATCACGATCTCACAAAGCAGACGATGAATCCACTTGCCCTCTTGAATCGCCAAGCTGAGTGCGATGTATTCGGCTTCACTCGTGGACAACGAAACACTTGGCTGCTTCTTGCTGCCCCAACTGACTGGCGCACCCAGTAGCATGAACGTGTACCCCGATGTTGACTTGCGGTCGGTAAGATCACCAGCCCAATCCGCATCCGAATATCCACGGAAGTCGATCCTTGCACTTGGCTTGTAGCAAATTCCATGCGTCTTGGTGCCTTGTAGGTAGCGAAAGATACGCTTAACTGCAACCCAGTGTTCTTCTTGGGGATTTTCCATGAACCGCGACACATAGCCCACAGCAAACGCAATGTCCGGACGCGTTGCAGTGGTCAGGTGCATCAACGCACCAACAGCTTCGCGAAAAGGAGCATCGACCTTGGTAGTTGCATCACTTGAAACAAGTCGAGAGCTCATGTCGACTGGATTGGACTGCCTTGCAATCATCCATGCCAAAGCGCTTGAGGATATCATCGACATACCGACGCTGACATAGTGTCACACTGCCATCTTCACCGTCCAAAAGCTCGATCCCAAGAACAAACGCACACTTGCCGCTGTCCGTCATTTCGAACCGCGTCTTCAGGTCGTTCTTGGTTTGTGCAATCAGCTCGAGCGAGCTTCCAGTCACCAAGACGTCGTCCACGTAGACCAGTATAAACACGCAATGGCCGTCCGAAGTCTTGATGTAGAGACATGGGTCGAAGTCCGATACTTGAAATCCGATGGAGCACACATACTCGTCGAACGTCTCGTTCCACACTCGCGACGCTTGCTTGAGGCCGTAAATTGACTTCACCAATTCCAGGCAGTCGAACGTACTGTCAAGTTCGACGCCTTCAGGAATCACGCAGAACACTTGTTCCTTCATGACGCCATACAGGAAAGCTGTCACCACATCAAGCTGGTCGATGGGCCATCCAAAATGCTTGGAAATTGCGATCACCATTCGCAGCGTCACATACTTGACCACAGGCGAAAACGTCTCCGTGTAGTCGATGCCATACTTTTGGCGGAAACCCTTGGCCACAAGTCGTGCCTTGTACTTCTCGATTGACCCATCCGCCTTGCGCTTGATCTTGAACACCCATTTTGTGCCAATGGCGCGTTGTCCGTTGGGCAGCTTGGCTGCACGAAACACACCGCGAAGTCGCATTGACTCGAGCTCTGCATGAATTGCTTTTCTCCAGTGCACTTGGTCAGGGCCGCTTACTGCTGCTTCAAATGTTGAGGGCTCTGATAAGTCCACTGCTGCTTCAACGGCATTTGCACTCGCACGCCAAAACACAGGCGGTGTTGAATCACCAGAATCCTTCGTTTCTTCGTCTTCTTCTTGTCGTGACGAGTTGTTTTCCGGCGCGCTTGACTCTTCTAGTCCTGGTCGTTGACGCACTGCACGCGGTCGTGGAGCTGCTGTATCTTCATCATTGAGTCGGTTCTTGCGCTTGCCTGTTTGCTTGTACTCCATTTGACGCAGCTCTTCGTCATCAAGATCCAGCAATTCGAAGTCCAGGTCATCGACATCTTCATCAGTGATCGGCAGTTGAAGTCCAAAGGTGGACTCGTCGAAGTTGACATCGCGGCTGATAACCACCTGCCCCGCCTCGATGTCATAAACACGATATGCCTTCGAAACTTCTTCGTAGCCCACGAATATGCCAGCGCGAGCCTTTGGATCCCACTTGAGTCGATTCTCTTTAGGCGTCAGTATGTATGTCTGACACCCGAATGTTCGCATGTGCTTGACGCTTGGTTTCAAGTTGTAGACGATCTCAAACGGGGTCTTGTGCACGACTTTAGGTGACGGCAGTCGATTCTTGACGTAGATGGCCGTCATCGCTGCTTCGGCCCAGAAACACTTGTCCAGTTTGGCATGATGAAGCATGCTGCGGCCGATCGTGACAATAGTCCTAATGGCACGCTCTGCTGTTCCGTTTGTTTGATGTGCATACGGCACCGTTGTCTGCTGTTCAATGCCTTCGTCTTCGTAGAACAGTTGAAGCGAGTTGGTTGCAAACTCGCGAGCTCCGTCGTGTCGCACGAACTTGACCTTCTTACAGAATTGCGTCTGTACCATGGTGATATATTTCCGGATGTAGTCTTCACTCTCGGACTTCACTCGTAGACAAAAGCCCTTCATGCATCCACTGGCTTCGTCGATGATCAGCAGCAAATATTTGCTGCCACCGAGCGAATCCTTTTCCATGGGCCCGCAGATGTCCAGATGAAGTAGCTCAAACGTATCGTAGCTGCGCTTGTCTCGGTTGCTTGGAAATGGTTTTTGGACCATTTTCCCTTGTTGACATCCTCGACATGTAGTTGCTCCACCCGACTTGAGAGGGACTCGCACATCCTTGATCATGTTGGTCGCGATCATCTTGCGAAGTACATCGACTGGAGCATGACCCATTCTCGCATGTAGATCGGCACAACTGGTTCCACTTGTTGTCACATTCGCTGATCGTTGAGTCGTCCGAAGCCAGTAGAGTCCATCCACGAGATCCGCTGTCGCCACCACTTGCTGTGAGTTCTTGAGAGTCACATACATCTTGGACCCGTCAAACACGACTTGAAACTTGCCATGGCTGTTAATCTGTGGCACCGAGAGCAGGTTCTTGCTCATACTTGGAACATATAGCGCGTTCTTGATTTCGATCTCACGCTCTTCACCGTTGGGCAGAACCACCTTTTCCATGATGGTTCCCACACCCTTGATGGCCACCTTGTTGCCATCAGCCACCAAGAGTTCGCCCTCATTGCGCTCTGCCAAACTTGCGAACTTGGTCTTGTCGTGGCAAATGTGGTGCGTTGCACCACTGTCGACGGCCCACATTCCAGACACGTCCTTGCTCGTCGAAACTCCACATTCGAACGAGACTGCAAACGCCACTCGATCGTAGCCATTGCCTTCATCATGATGTCCCCACTGGACATTGTTAGCCCCCGCGTCCACGACCATTGCCGCCGCGTCGGGCTCCCCGACCTTCGTTCTTCTGCTTTGTCCAGCAACGATCCACCGTGTGTCCCACCTTGCCACAATACGTGCATTGGTAGGGCTCACGCTCGGCGCTGAATGCCTTGCTTGCATCTTCAGCCTTCACCGTAGTCGCTGTCGTTGTCCCTTTTTCTCCTTGACGCTTGGCATGCTCATTCGTCAGGACTCTCACCACATCTTGAGTGCGAAGCTCGGTGCTGCTCATTTCCATGTTGAGCACCACATTTTCGTAGCTCTTCGGAAGACTGAGTAGCAGACAAATTGCAACGTCTTCGTCTTCCATCTTCGCACCGATGCCGCTAAGCTTGGCGGAGATGTTGAGGACCTCGTTGCAGTGATGCATGACGTTCGCGCCTTCAGCCATCTTGATACTGAAAAGTTGTCGCTTGAGGTAGATGCGTCCTGCCTTCTGCGACCCACCGTACAGCGTCTTCAGACTTGTCCACGCAACCCAGGCTTCCTCGCAGTTGTCCAGCACATGATGGTAGTCCGCGTTCATGTGCAGCAGCATCATACCAAACGCGACGTTGCTTGCCTTGACGTAGTCATCGGACGCTCGCGGGTCGGTGAAAGTCGGAGTCACTTCACGGTTGACAACGTGCCAGACGGACTTCGTCAAAAACACACCGCGCATGTACCGGCTCCACGTTGCGTAATTGTCTCCGTTGAACTTGTCAATGGAGGCGTTGCTGGTGGACGACATGGCGCTTGGGCTCATAACCTGTTGCATTGTAGATCGGAGCGAGGAAAGCGGAGCAAACGGAGCGGAGAGACCGAAGAGAGTAGAGCAGAAAACACTTGCCCAATAGTTGGAAGATTCGAAAGTGATTGATTATCGGGGCTTACTACTTACTACATGATTTATATGTGGTGTACATATAAATCATGTGAAGCGTCTCATCATCCTACGCGTCTAATCAACTATGGTAATTACCGTAAGAACTACGTCGTAAATACTAAGCTGAACAGGCGGTTCGGATTGGATCGGTCACGGTTACCAATACTGGTAGAAAACCGATGACCGTCAACACGCCCCCTCAATCCGAATGCTCACGAATCCCGAGAGTCGCCGTCATCTCCTTGTGGCGCGGTCCGTGAAGTGCCTTGGTCATGATGTCTGCTAACATCACCGCAGTCTCACAGTACTTGAGCTTGACTTGGCCGCGCTTGACCTCATCACGGATGTGATGGTACTTGATGTCGATGTGCTTGGCACGGCCATGGTTGACAGGATTCTTCGTCATCTTGATGCACGATTGATTGTCTTCATAGATCATGAGTTCCGGTCCTTCTTCATTGGCAGCCATCACGATCTCACAAAGCAGACGATGAATCCACTTGCCCTCTTGAATCGCCAAGCTGAGTGCGATGTATTCGGCTTCACTCGTGGACAACGAAACACTTGGCTGCTTCTTGCTGCCCCAACTGACTGGCGCACCGAGTAGCATGAACGTGTACCCCGATGTTGACTTGCGGTCGGTAAGATCACCAGCCCAATCCGCATCCGAATATCCACGGAAGTCGATCCTTGCACTTGGCTTGTAGCAAATTCCATGCGTCTTGGTGCCTTGTAGGTAGCGAAAGATACGCTTAACTGCAACCCAGTGTTCTTCTTGGGGATTTTCCATGAACCGCGACACATAGCCCACAGCAAACGCAATGTCCGGACGCGTTGCAGTGGTCAGGTGCATCAACGCACCAACAGCTTCGCGAAAAGGAGCATCGACCTTGGTAGTTGCATCACTTGAAACAAGTCGAGAGGGAGTGTTGAAAAGACAGCGGCTGTGAAGAAGACACCTCGTCAAGCTGCGTCAAGTGTTGAAGCAAGTGGAAGACCAAGCTTCGCTATACCGGTGGGTACCGGTATGTACCAGTAAGGGCGAAGTCAGGAAATGACGTCAGTGGGTGACGTCAGTGGGTGACGTCACTGGATGACGTCACTGCGAATAATAGGCTTAGAGGTAGTATTCAAAGTTGCGAACTAAGTACCTATTATAAATATATATTCACTTTGCGTTTTGCACTCGGACCAAGAAGTCTAAAGATCATCAGGTTATGAGCCCAAGTTCGTCAGACTCTGAAACCGCCAACAATTCAAGCTTAGCTGCCATGGACGCCTCCTCCCTCCGCATCTCCAAGTTCGATGGAACTAACTTCCACGCCTGGAAGTTCAAGATGCAGATGGTGCTGGAGGAACGGGACCTATGGGAGGTCGTCAGCGGTGAGATCAAGGCGGAACAGTGCGAGACTCAGTTGGACCAAGCGACGTACAAGAGGAAGTCAAGAAAGGCGATGGCAGTGATCTGTCTAGCCATGGAAGATTCCCAGCTACCGTTGGTCCGGTCGGCAAGTGTTGCATGCGACGCATGGTCAAGGTTGGAAGACCACTTCGAGAAGAAGAGTCTTGCCAACAAGCTGTTCTTGCGCCGTCGCTTCTTCACGACAATGATGGAAGAAGGCGACGATGTGCTCGAACACATCAACAAGCTCAAGACGCTGGCGGAACAGCTAGAAGCGGTGGGGGCTCCAGTCTGCGAGGACGATCTGGTGATCACACTTCTCGGCAGCCTGAGTGACTCGTATCAATTCTTGATCACAGCTTTGGAGTCGCGCTCAGACACTCTTAGCTGGGAGCTCGTGACGTCTCGACTGCTTCATGAAGAAATGAAGCGGAAGGAGCAAGGAAGTAAAGGTGATGAAGCTTCGCAAGGTCAAGCGTTCATCACAAGGGACAATCAGCGCAAAGGGCGACCAGTGAAGAAGTCCTGGCCGTGCCACAATTGCGGAAAGATTGGTCACTGGATGGCGGAGTGCCCCTCGCGCATCCAAGAAAACACGGAGAGACACCGGCCACAGCGTGCTCAAGACAGCGGCGACCGCTATCGATCACAACGTGCAAACGTCGCTCAAGAAGAAGACTCGGGCGACTACCTCTTTTCGATCGGTGAAACGACATCTGCGAAATCGAGCGACATCTGGCTGGTCGACTCCGGGGCGACGCAGCACATGACGTGCTCCAAGAAGTTCATGCGGAACTACAAGGGGTTTGACGCTGTGGATGTCCATCTCGCGGATGATGGAATCGTCCAAGCAATCGGCAGTGGGGACATTGTCATGTCGATGAAGACACCCCAAGGGATGAAGAAAGGTGTGTTCACAAACGTGTGGCACATCCCAAAGTTATCCAGAAACCTGTTCTCGGTCGGCCGCTTCACCAAGGATGTCGGCCCAGTGACGTTCACGAAGGATGGGTGCTATGGAGAAGCGAAAGGGACCAAGTGGAAAATTGGTGCCCGTGAAGGTAAAGGACTGTTCAAGCTGCAAATGACTCCAGTGGCGCCGGAACAAGCAAATGCAGCCAAGTCGTCGGGATGTCAAGGGGGCACCAAGTCGTACCTCTGGCACCTTCGGCTTGGCCACATAGGTCACGATGGACTTAATTGCATCGTGACGAAGAACATTGGAATTGGCATCGACATATCTTCGGTGAAGAAGTGGGACGTGTGTGAAGGTTGTGCTCTGGGAAAACAGACTCGAGTGCGCTTCCAATCAAACACTACAGCTCGCACCTCCAAACTCCTCGAAGTGATTCACAGCGACGTATGCGGACCGATGTCGATGGCAACTTTCAGTGGAAAACGGTACTTCGTGACATTCATTGATGACAAGTCAAGATACTGTGTCGTCTATCTGCTCAAGAGCAAATCTGAAGTTGCGGCGAAGTTCATGGAATACGCTGCGATGGCCGAAATGCAAACCGGAAAGCGCGTGAAGTACCTTCAAAGCGACAATGGGGGTGAATACAAGTCCGACAAGCTGGCACGATTCTGCGCGGAACGGGGAATACAACAAAGGTTCACAACCCCATATACTCCTCAGCTAAACGGAGTAGCTGAGAGAATGAATCGCACGCTGGTCGAGTGTGCGCGTTGCATGATGGAACACGCTGGACTGGGAAAGAGCTACTGGGGTGAAGCAGTGATGACGGCGATGTTTCTTCGAAACCGCTGTCCAACACGTGCCATTCACCAAGACAAGTCTCCATATCAAGTGTGGACGATGAAGAAACCGATTCTGGCCAACCTTAAAGTGTTTGGATGCCACGCGTATGTTCAAGTGCCTCAAGACAAACGCGCGAAGTTCGACTCCAAGTCATCACTCTGTCGTTTCCTGGGATACGCCGAACACCAGAAGTCATATCGATTTGAGGAAGTGTCAACAGGAGCGATCAAGATCAGTCGCGATGCCACATTCATGGAAGACAAGTTTGATGAAGGTCCGCGCAACTACAACGATGAGTCAAGTGTCGTTGAGTTTGATGATCATGATGAGGACGAAGAAAAAGAAGAAGGTAAAACTGACGACGACATGGACTCGAGCGACGATGACAACGAAGACACCAGGTCTTCGAAGAGCAACATCAAGAGACACACGCGCACTCAATCACTTGAGAAAGCTACCGTCATTCCAAGTCCCAAGCGAAGAACATACAGAGGTCCGTCGCTTGAGCATGTGTCAGCGGCTGCAATGGATTTTGAAGCAGCCTACATCGTTGATTCAGTGGGGGAAACGCCGACTACATTCAAGTCGGCGATGGAATCAAGCGACTCCGGCAAGTGGAAAGAAGCGTGTGACTCGGAGTTCGATTCGCTTCAGAGAAACGACACGTGGGAAATCGTGCCTCTTCCGAAAGGTCGCAAGGCCATCGGGTGCCGATGGGTTTTTCGTGTAAAGTAGAATCAAGATGGCGAAGTTGAACGTTTCAAGGCAAGACTTGTGGCCAAAGGATTCTCACAGAAATTCGGAGTTGACTATGAAGAAACTTTCGCACCGGTGGCCAAGTTCACATCGATTCGTGTGGTGCTCAGTATGGCGGCTAAGTACGGCCTAATGCTACATCAGATGGACGTCAAGACAGCGTTTCTTAACGGCTCCCTCAACGAAGACATCTACATGGACCAGCCGGACGGATACCTGGATGCAACACAGCCGGACTATGTGTGCAAGCTAAAGAGATCACTCTACGGCTTGAAGCAATCGCCTCGCATGTGGAACCAAACAATCGATGGGTTCATGATCAAGATGGGATTCAAGAAGTGCGAATCGGACCACTGCATCTACATCAAGCGAGACGACCAAGACATGATTCTCGTGGTACTCTACGTCGATGATCTCATCCTGGCCAGCAGCAACAACGAACTCCTCAAGTCAACCAAGATGGCGCTGAGCAAACGCTTCGAAATGACGGATCTCGGTGAGCTCGATTACTTTCTCGGCATGGAGATCAAGAACGACCGTAAGACGGGAATGGTGACTGTACAACAAACCAAGTTTCTCAAGTCCGTGTTAACCAAGTTCGGAATGGATAACAGCAAGCCAGTGAAGACGCCTCAAGATCCCGGCCTGAAGCTAACCAAGAACATAAGTGAACAAGAATGCAAGCACGAAGACACCATGTGCAACGTGCCATATCGAAGTGCTGTCGGAGGCATCATGTATCTCATGGTCGCCACACGTCCGGATCTAGCTGCTGCAGTGGGATCATTATCCCAGTTCTCGTCCGACCCATGCCCGACTCACTGGCAAGCTTTGAAGCGTGTGCTGAGATACCTGCAAGCAACGCCCAATCATGGTCTTGAGTTTACACGTGAAGAAGGAAGCCGTATCTGCGGGTACACCGACGCAGACTGGGCCGGCGACATTGAGTCAAGACGAAATACAAGCGGCTATGTGTTCATGATGAGCGGAGGATGCATCAGCTGGAAAAGCCAGAAACAACGGACGGTCGCGCTATCTTCAACAGAAGCAGAATACATGGCGCTTTCCGAAGCAACCAAAGAAGCAGTATGGCTCAAAGTGCTTTTGGGGGAACTTGGTGAGATGACAAGCGACGAAGCGATCAAGATGTATGAAGACAACCAAGGATCAATCGCTCTCGCCAAGAACCCGGAGTTCCATAAGAGAACAAAACACATCGACATACGCTACCATTTTGTGCGTGAGAAGGTGGAATCAGGTGAAGTCGTTTTGGAGTATTGCCCGACTCAAGATATGCTGGCAGACATGATGACCAAGCCGATCGCCGCTGTACAATTTGAAAACATTCGCGATCGACTTGGGATCCAAGGTGCCGCAGCTAACGAGTCGAGAGGGAGTGTTGAAAAGACAGCGGCTGTGAAGAAGACACCTCGTCAAGCTGCGTCAAGTGTTGAAGCAAGTGGAAGACCAAGCTTCGCTATACCGGTGGGTACCGGTATGTACCAGTAAGGGCGAAGTCAGGAAATGACGTCACTGGATGACGTCATTGCATGACGTCAGTGGGTGACGTCAGTGGGTGACGTCACTGGATGACGTCACTGCGAATAATAGGCTTAGAGGTAGTATTCAAAGTTGCGAACTAAGTACCTATTATAAATATATATTTACTTTGCGTTTTGCACTCGGACCAAGAAGTCTAAAGTTCATCACTGTCGCCACCACTTGCTGTGAGTTCTTGAGAGTCACATACATCTTGGACCCGTCAAACACGACTTGAAAGTTGCCATGGCTGTTAATCTGTGGCACCGAGAGCAGGTTCTTGCTCATACTTGGAACATATAGCGCGTTCTTGATTTCGATCTCACGCTCTTCACCGTTGGGCAGAACCACCTTTTCCATGATGGTTCCCACACCCTTGATGGCCACCTTGTTGCCATCAGCCACCAAGAGTTCGTCCTCATTGCGCTCTGCCAAACTTGCGAACTTGGTCTTGTCGTGGCAAATGTGGTGCGTTGCACCACTGTCGACGGCCCACATTCCAGACACGTCCATGCTCGTCGAAACTCCACATTCGAACGAGACTGCAAACTCCACTCGATCGTAGCCATTGCCTTCATCATGATGTCCCCACTGGACATTGTTAGCCCCGCGTCCACGACCATTGCCGCCGCGTCGGGCTCCCCGACCTTCGTTCTTCTGCTTTGTCCAGCAACGATCCACCGTGTGTCCCACCTTGCCACAATACGTGCATTGGTAGGGCTCACGCTCGGCGCTGAATGCCTTGCTTGCATCTTCAGCCTTCACCGTAGTCGCTGTCGTTGTCCCTTTTTCTCCTTGACGCTTGGCATGCTCATTCGTCAGGACTCTCACCACATCTTGAGTGCGAAGCTCGGTGCTGCTCATTTCCATGTTGAGCACCACATTTTCGTAGCTCTTCGGAAGACTGAGTAGCAGACAAATTGCAACGTCTTCGTCTTCCATCTTCGCACCGATGCCGCTAAGCTTGGCGGAGATGTTGAGGACCTCGTTGCAGTGATGCATGACGTTCGCGCCTTCAGCCATCTTGATACTGAAAAGTTGTCGCTTGAGGTAGATGCGTCCTGCCTTCTGCGACCCACCGTACAGCGTCTTCAGACTTGTCCACGCAACCCAGGCTTCCTCGCAGTTGTCCAGCACATGATGGTAGTCCGCGTTCATGTGCAGCAGCATCATACCAAACGCGACGTTGCTTGCCTTGACGTAGTCATCGGACGCTCGCGGGTCGGTGAAAGTCGGAGTCACTTCACGGTTGACAACGTGCCAGACGGACTTCGTCAAAAACACACCGCGCATGTACCGGCTCCACGTTGCGTAATTGTCTCCGTTGAACTTGTCAATGGAGGCGTTGCTGGTGGACGACATGGCGCTTGGGCTCATAACCTGTTGCATTGTAGATCGGAGCGAGGAAAGCGGAGCAAACGGAGCGGAGATACCGAAGAGAGTAGAGCAGAAAACACTTGCCCAATAGTTGGAAGATTCGAAAGTGATTGATTATCGGGGCTTACTACTTACTACATGATTTATATGTGGTGTACATATAAATCATGTGAAGCGTCTCATCATCCTACGCGTCTAATCAACTATGGTAATTACCGTAAGAACTACGTCGTAAATACTAAGCTGAACAGGCGGTTCGGATTGGATCGGTCACGGTTACCAATACTGGTAGAAAACCGATGACCGTCAACACGCCCCCTCAATCCGAATGCTCACGAATCCCGAGAGTCGCCGTCATCTCCTTGTGGCGTGGCCCGTGAAGTCCCTTCGTCATGATGTCCGCTAACATCACCGCAGTTTCACAGTACTTGAGCTTCACTTCACCGCGCTTGACCTCATCACGGATGTGATGGTACTTGATATCAATGTGCTTGGCACGGCCGTGGTTGACTGGGTTCTTCGTCATCTTGATACACGACTGATTGTCTTCATGGATCATGAGTTCCGGTCCTTCTTCATTGGCAGCCATCACGATCTCACAAAGCAGACGATGAATCCACTTGCCCTCTTGAATCGCCAAGCTGAGTGCGATGTATTCGGCTTCACTCGTGGACAACGAAACACTTGGCTGCTTCTTGCTGCCCCAACTGACTGGCGCACCGAGTAGCATGAACGTGTACCCCGATGTTGACTTGCGGTCGGTAAGATCACCAGCCCAATCCGCATCCGAATATCCACGGAAGTCGATCCTTGCACTTGGCTTGTAGCAAATTCCATGCGTCTTGGTGCCTTGTAGGTAGCGAAAGATACGCTTAACTGCAACCCAGTGTTCTTCTTGGGGATTTTCCATGAACCGCGACACATAGCCCACAGCAAACGCAATGTCCGGACGCGTTGCAGTGGTCAGGTGCATCAACGCACCAACAGCTTCGCGAAAAGGAGCATCGACCTTGGTAGTTGCATCACTTGAAACAAGTCGAGAGCTCATGTCGACTGGACTTGCGACTGCCTTGCAATCATCCATGCCAAAGCGCTTGAGGATATCATCGACATACCGACGCTGACATAGTGTCACACTGCCATCTTCACCGTCCAAAAGCTCGATCCCAAGAACAAACGCACACTTGCCGCTGTCCGTCATTTCGAACCGCGTCTTCAGGTCGTTCTTGGTTTGTGCAATCAGCTCGAGCGAGCTTCCAGTCACCAAGACGTCGTCCACGTAGACCAGTATAAACACGCAATGGCCGTCCGAAGTCTTGATGTAGAGACATGGGTCGAAGTCCGATACTTGAAATCAGATGGAGCACACATACTCGTCGAACGTCTCGTTCCACACTCGCGACGCTTGCTTGAGGCCGTAAATTGACTTCACCAATTCCAGGCAGTCGAACGTACTGTCAAGTTCGACGCCTTCAGGAATCACGCAGAACACTTGTTCCTTCATGACGCCATACAGGAAAGCTGTCACCACATCAAGCTGGTCGATGGGCCATCCAAAATGCTTGGAAATTGCGATCACCATTCGCAGCGTCACATACTTGACCACAGGCGAAAACGTCTCCGTGTAGTCGATGCCATACTTTTGGCGGAAACCCTTGGCCACAAGTCGTGCCTTGTACTTCTCGATTGACCCATCCGCCTTGCGCTTGATCTTGAACACCCATTTTGTGCCAATGGCGCGTTGTCCGTTGGGCAGCTTGGCTGCACGAAACACACCGCGAAGTCGCATTGACTCGAGCTCTGCATGAATTGCTTTTCTCCAGTGCACTTGGTCAGGGCCGCTTACTGCTGCTTCAAATGTTGAGGGTTCTGATAAGTCCACTGCTGCTTCAACGGCATTTGCACTCGCACGCCAAAACACAGGCGGTGTTGAATCACCAGAATCCTTCGTTTCTTCGTCTTCTTCTTGTCGTGACGAGTTGTTTTCCGGCGCGCTTGACTCTTCTAGTCCTGGTCGTTGACGCACTGCACGCGGTCGTGGAGCTGCTGTATCTTCATCATTGAGTCGGTTCTTGCGCTTGCCTGTTTGCTTGTACTCCATTTGACGCAGCTCTTCGTCATCAAGATCCAGCAATTCGAAGTCCAGGTCATCGACATCTTCATCAGTGATCGGCAGTTGAAGTCCAAAGGTGGACTCGTCGAAGTTGACATCGCGGCTGATAACCACCTGCCCCGCCTCGATGTCATAAACACGATATGCCTTCGAAACTTCTTCGTAGCCCACGAATATGCCAGCGCGAGCCTTTGGATCCCACTTGAGTCGATTCTCTTTAGGCGTCAGTATGTATGTCTGACACCCGAATGTTCGCATGTGCTTGACGCTTGGTTTCAAGTTGTAGACGATCTTGTTGCATTGTAGATCGGAGCGAGGAAAGCGGAGCAAACGGAGCGGAGATACCGAAGAGAGTAGAGCAGAAAACACTTGCCCAATAGTTGGAAGATTCGAAAGTGATTGATTATCGGAGCTTACTACTTACTACATGATTTATATGTGGTGTACATATAAATCATGTGAAGCGTCTCATCATCCTACGCGTCTAATCAACTATGGTAATTACCGTAAGAACTACGTCGTAAATACTAAGCTGAACAGGCGGTTCGGATTGGATCGGTCACGGTTACCAATACTGGTAGAAAACCGATGACCGTCAACACGCCCCCTCAATCCGAATGCTCACGAATCCCGAGAGTCGCCGTCATCTCCTTGTGGCGTGGCCCGTGAAGTCCCTTCGTCATGATGTCCGCTAACATCACCGCAGTTTCACAGTACTTGAGCTTCACTTCACCGCGCTTGACCTCATCACGGATGTGATGGTACTTGATATCAATGTGCTTGGCACGGCCGTGGTTGACTGGGTTCTTCGTCATCTTGATACACGACTGATTGTCTTCATGGATCATGAGTTCCGGTCCTTCTTCATTGGCAGCCATCACGATCTCACAAAGCAGACGATGAATCCACTTGCCCTCTTGAATCGCCAAGCTGAGTGCGATGTATTCGGCTTCACTCGTGGACAACGAAACACTTGGCTGCTTCTTGCTGCCCCAACTGACTGGCGCACCGAGTAGCATGAACGTGTACCCCGATGTTGACTTGCGGTCGGTAAGATCACCAGCCCAATCCGCATCCGAATATCCACGGAAGTCGATCCTTGCACTTGGCTTGTAGCAAATTCCATGCGTCTTGGTGCCTTGTAGGTAGCGAAAGATACGCTTAACTGCAACCCAGTGTTCTTCTTGGGGATTTTCCATGAACCGCGACACATAGCCCACAGCAAACGCAATGTCCGGACGCGTTGCAGTGGTCAGGTGCATCAACGCACCAACAGCTTCGCGAAAAGGAGCATCGACCTTGGTAGTTGCATCACTTGAAACAAGTCGAGAGCTCATGTCGACTGGACTTGCGACTGCCTTGCAATCATCCATGCCAAAGCGCTTGAGGATATCATCGACATACCGACGCTGACATAGTGTCACACTGCCATCTTCACCGTCCAAAAGCTCGATCCCAAGAACAAACGCACACTTGCCGCTGTCCGTCATTTCGAACCGCGTCTTCAGGTCGTTCTTGGTTTGTGCAATCAGCTCGAGCGAGCTTCCAGTCACCAAGACGTCGTCCACGTAGACCAGTATAAACACGCAATGGCCGTCCGAAGTCTTGATGTAGAGACATGGGTCGAAGTCCGATACTTGAAATCCGATGGAGCACACATACTCGTCGAACGTCTCGTTCCACACTCGCGACGCTTGCTTGAGGCCGTAAATTGACTTCACCAATTCCAGGCAGTCGAACGTACTGTCAAGTTCGACGCCTTCAGGAATCACGCAGAACACTTGTTCCTTCATGACGCCATACAGGAAAGCTGTCACCACATCAAGCTGGTCGATGGGCCATCCAAAATGCTTGGAAATTGCGATCACCATTCGCAGCGTCACATACTTGACCACAGGCGAAAACGTCTCCGTGTAGTCGATGCCATACTTTTGGCGGAAACCCTTGGCCACAAGTCGTGCCTTGTACTTCTCGATTGACCCATCCGCCTTGCGCTTGATCTTGAACACCCATTTTGTGCCAATGGCGCGTTGTCCGTTGGGCAGCTTGGCTGCACGAAACACACCGCGAAGTCGCATTGACTCGAGCTCTGCATGAATTGCTTTTCTCCAGTGCACTTGGTCAGGGCCGCTTACTGCTGCTTCAAATGTTGAGGGTTCTGATAAGTCCACTGCTGCTTCAACGGCATTTGCACTCGCACGCCAAAACACAGGCGGTGTTGAATCACCAGAATCCTTCGTTTCTTCGTCTTCTTCTTGTCGTGACGAGTTGTTTTCCGGCGCGCTTGACTCTTCTAGTCCTGGTCGTTGACGCACTGCACGCGGTCGTGGAGCTGCTGTATCTTCATCATTGAGTCGGTTCTTGCGCTTGCCTGTTTGCTTGTACTCCATTTGACGCAGCTCTTCGTCATCAAGATCCAGCAATTCGAAGTCCAGGTCATCGACATCTTCATCAGTGATCGGCAGTTGAAGTCCAAAGGTGGACTCGTCGAAGTTGACATCGCGGCTGATAACCACCTGCCCCGCCTCGATGTCATAAACACGATATGCCTTCGAAACTTCTTCGTAGCCCACGAATATGCCAGCGCGAGCCTTTGGATCCCACTTGAGTCGATTCTCTTTAGGCGTCAGTATGTATGTCTGACACCCGAATGTTCGCATGTGCTTGACGCTTGGTTTCAAGTTGTAGACGATCTCAAACGGGGTCTTGTGCACGACTTTAGGTGACGGCAGTCGATTCTTGACGTAGATGGCCGTCATCGCTGCTTCGGCCCAGAAACACTTGTCCAGTTTGGCATGATGAAGCATGCTGCGGCCGATCGTGACAATAGTCCTAATGGCACGCTCTGCTGTTCCGTTTGTTTGATGTGCATACGGCACCGTTGTCTGCTGTTCAATGCCTTCGTCTTCGTAGAACAGTTGAAGCGAGTTGGTTGCAAACTCGCGAGCTCCGTCGTGTCGCACGAACTTGACCTTCTTACAGAATTGCGTCTGTACCATGGTGATATATTTCCGGATGTAGTCTTCACTCTCGGACTTCACTCGTAGACAAAAGCCCTTCATGCATCCACTGGCTTCGTCGATGATCAGCAGCAAATATTTGCTGCCACCGAGCGAATCCTTTTCCATGGGCCCGCAGATGTCCAGATGAAGTAGCTCAAACGTGTCGTAACTTCGCTTGTCACGATTGCTTGGGAATGGGTTTTGGACCATTTTCCTTGCTGACATTCTCGACATGTACCTGATCCACTTGACTTGAGAGGCACTTCCACATCTTTGATCATGTTGTTGGAGACCATCTTGCGAAGCACGTCGACTGTAGCATGACCCATTCTCGCATGTAGATCGGCACAACTGGTTCCACTTGTTGTCACATTCGCTGATCGTTGAGTCGTCCGAAGCCAGTAGAGTCCATCCACGAGATCCGCTGTCGCCACCACTTGCTGTGAGTTCTTGAGAGTCACATACATCTTGGACCCGTCAAACACGACTTGAAACTTGCCATGGCTGTTAATCTGTGGCACCGAGAGCAGGTTCTTGCTCATACTTGGAACATATAGCGCGTTCTTGATTTCGATCTCACGCTCTTCACCGTTGGGCAGAACCACCTTTTCCATGATGGTTCCCACACCCTTGATGGCCACCTTGTTGCCATCAGCCACCAAGAGTTCGCCCTCATTGCGCTCTGCCAAACTTGCGAACTTGGTCTTGTCGTGGCAAATGTGGTGCGTTGCACCACTGTCGACGGCCCACATTCCAGACACGTCCTTGCTCGTCGAAACTCCACATTCGAACGAGACTGCAAACGCCACTCGATCGTAGCCATTGCCTTCATCATGATGTCCCCACTGGACATTGTTAGCCCCGCGTCCACGACCATTGCCGCCGCGTCGGGCTCCCCGACCTTCGTTCTTCTGCTTTGTCCAGCAACGATCCACCGTGTGTCCCACCTTGCCACAATACGTGCATTGGTAGGGCTCACGCTCGGCGCTGAATGCCTTGCTTGCATCTTCAGCCTTCACCGTAGTCGCTGTCGTTGTCCCTTTTTCTCCTTGACGCTTGGCATGCTCATTCGTCAGGACTCTCACCACATCTTGAGTGCGAAGCTCGGTGCTGCTCATTTCCATGTTGAGCACCACATTTTCGTAGCTCTTCGGAAGACTGAGTAGCAGACAAATTGCAACGTCTTCGTCTTCCATCTTCGCACCGATGCCGCTAAGCTTGGCGGAGATGTTGAGGACCTCGTTGCAGTGATGCATGACGTTCGCGCCTTCAGCCATCTTGATACTGAAAAGTTGTCGCTTGAGGTAGATGCGTCCTGCCTTCTGCGACCCACCGTACAGCGTCTTCAGACTTGTCCACGCAACCCAGGCTTCCTCGCAGTTGTCCAGCACATGATGGTAGTCCGCGTTCATGTGCAGCAGCATCATACCAAACGCGACGTTGCTTGCCTTGACGTAGTCATCGGACGCTCGCGGGTCGGTGAAAGTCGGAGTCACTTCACGGTTGACGACGTGCCAGACGGACTTCGTCAAAAACACACCGCGCATGTACCGGCTCCACGTTGCGTAATTGTCTCCGTTGAACTTGTCAATGGAGGCGTTGCTGGTGGACGACATGGCGCTTGGGCTCATAACCTGTTGCATTGTAGATCGGAGCGAGGAAAGCGGAGCAAACGGAGCGGAGAGACCGAAGAGAGTAGAGCAGAAAACACTTGCCCAATAGTTGGAAGATTCGAAAGTGATTGATTATCGGGGCTTACTACTTACTACATGATTTATATGTGGTGTACATATAAATCATGTGAAGCGTCTCATCATCCTACGCGTCTAATCAACTATGGTAATTACCGTAAGAACTACGTCGTAAATACTAAGCTGAACAGGCGGTTCGGATTGGATCGGTCACGGTTACCAATACTGGTAGAAAACCGATGACCGTCAACAAGTCCCTCTCAAGTCGGGTGGAGCAACTACATGTCGAGGATGTCAACAAGGGAAAATGGTCCAAAAACCATTTCCAAGCAACCGAGACAAGCGCAGCTACGATACGTTTGAGCTACTTCATCTGGACATCTGCGGGCCCATGGAAAAGGATTCGCTCGGTGGCAGCAAATATTTGCTGCTGATCATCGACGAAGCCAGTGGATGCATGAAGGGCTTTTGTCTACGAGTGAAGTCCGAGAGTGAAGACTACATCCGGAAATATATCACCATGGTACAGACGCAATTCTGTAAGAAGGTCAAGTTCGTG